GCCGTCGGGGGCTCACGTTCACCAATATAAGCAACACTTTGTCATCTCACGTGAAATATAGAAGGCTTTATACCGCAGTGCACAGCCTTTGTTTTCCTCATTAAACCTTTTGTTTGGTGACGTTCTGATTACCGTTGCCGTCGTGGTTTGTTTAAACTCTAAACCAAATTTGCCATCTAAGCAGTCGAAGGAAGAATCATTCTACCGTAATAAATGTGCAGTGAGCTGGCAATAGATAGTCAGCAGTTTGTTTAACTGATATACTACGTAAGTCAGTTCTGAAATAAAACAAACTACAAACAAAAGTCACGATTTCTCCTTCAGGTTTTCCCACCCCGCAACCCCCTGCTTGCCAGGAAGGATTAGGTCTGGAAAATTATGCCATTCCGGACTCCTCAATAACTGCTTCAAGCAATGTAGCTCCGGGTACAACTTTATATATACCGGGCAATGGAAGACTTAATTTCAGGCTTAAAGCTGGACACTATGGAGCTTGGGCAGCTGGTAATCTACGAGACAACAGTTGGTTTCAGGTGAATTTTGGGCGTTTCGTTAAAGTGACGATAGTTTCCACTCAAGGAAGAGACGATACTTACGAATGGGTGAAAAAGTATCGTCTGACGTACAGTTATGACGGAAACTTTTTCCGTGACTACCTGGAAGACGGGTCTGTCAAGGTAATTTTTCGTCAATGTAGAACCTAATTGTTTTTAATTTGTGTGTTATTGTTGTTTTTGAAGAGTACCTAAGGTAATCTCTCAAATTCGTTTTAGTTCACTCTTGGTCTTCAAAATCACAGGAAGGTCAAGAAATAGCCAATGATGTCACGAATTATAGTCACGTAAAGAGCCCAAACGGATCTGCACGCATTTTTGTACTCCATTAAAGCATCCACGCAACACCAATGGTGTCTAACCCCCAAAGAACTAAGTACGATGTCTAAAAACAGCTTGAGAATGATTACAGTGGGGATGAGACCCACGTAACCTATCTTATCCTTCATCCTCTATTAGGTTGAGTTTGTTTCCAAGCGTTCTATTGTGTCGTGTTAATCAATTACAACATATTTGTAATCAAGAAAGCATGTACTCTTTTGTTCCATTTAAGGAATTTGAAGGGAATGAGGATCGATTCTCAATTGTGAGTCACAAGCTAACGAATCCTATTATTGCACGCTTCATCCGAATCAATCCCTTGGAATACCACGTCTGGATTTCAATGAGGGCTGATTTCTATGGTTGTAAATCAGGTACGGAGCTGTGAACTTCGAAGTAGTAGTAGAGGCAGCTGCAGCGGCCGTATCATTAGCAGTGTCAGCAACATTAGCGGTAGCGGCAGTGATCGTGGTAGTGGTAGTGTTCGTAGTACACGTCGTGGTAGCGGTAGAGGTAGTGGAAGTGGTGATGGTAGTGGTAACAGTAGTGGTTGTGACTATGGTTGTAGTAGGGATTTTGATACACTAATTGTAGTTGTAGTTGTATTTGTTGTGGCTGCGGTTGTATTAGTGGCAGTGGCAGTGCACTGGCAGTGGCAGTGCACTGGCAGTGGCAGTGCNCAGCTTGAGAATGATTACAGTGGGGATGAGACCCACGTAACCTATCTTATCCTTCATCCTCTATTAGGTTAAGTTTGTTTCCAAGCGTTCTATTGTGTCGTCTTAACCAATTACACCATATTTGTAATCAAGAAAGCATGTACTCTTTTGTTCTATTTAAGGAATTTGAAGGGAATGAGGATCGATTCTCAATTGTGAGTCACAAGCTAAAGAATCCTATTATTGCACGCTTCATCCGAATCAATCCATTGGAATACCATGTCTGGATTTCAATGAGGGCTGATTTCTATGGTTGTAAATCAGGTACGGAGCTGTGAACGTCGAAGTAGTAGTAGAGGCAGCTGCAGCGGCCGTATCATTAGCAGTGTCAGCAACATTAGCGGTAGCGGCAGTGATTGCGGTAGTGGTAGTGCTCGTCGTACACGTCGTGGTAGCGGTAGAGGTAGTGGAAGTGGTGATGGTAGTGGTAGCAGTAGTGGTCGTGACTGTGGTTGTAGTAGGGATTTTGATACACTAATTGTAGTTGTAGTTGCATTTGTTGTGGTTGCGGTTGTGTTAGTGGCAGTGGCAGTGGTAGTGGTACTCACTCTGGTAGAGGTAGTGGCGGTGGTAGTGGTAAAGGTAGTAGCAGTGGTGATGGTAGTGGTAGTAGTAGTGGTAGTGGTAGTGGTGGTGGTAGTGGTAGTGGTAGTGGTCTTGGTAGTGGTCGGGATCGGGATCGTGCTCGTGCTCGTGCTCGTGCTCGTGCTCGTGCTCGTGCTCGTGCTCGTGCTCGTGGTGGTAGTGGTGGTGGTAGTGGTCGTAATAGTGGTAGTGGTGGTGGTAGTGGTAGTGGTAGTGGTAGTGGTAGTGGTAGTGGTAGTGGTAGTGGTAGT